GGCCATCTTGGGCGTCTTGGGACGATGTTTCGGCGACTCGGGGCCTTCTTGGACCGTCTTGGAAGTCTTTTGGGGCCCTCGTAACCCGTTATCAAGCCCTCGATGTGCCGCCCGGGCGGCAATTCTGGAGCAAAGGGCACCCCCAGGCCAGCCCGGATAGACCCCCCCCTCCAAATCGACCGAATCCAGCTCCCGGGGGAGGGGTTGGGGAGAGGGGGAAGCATCTCACACGCCGATGAGCCCCAAGGTGTCGGCGGATATCTATCTATCTATCTATCTATCTATATATATATATATAGATGTGTACACATATAGCTCTCTCTCTCTCTCAACATATGAAGCTGGCGCGACCCCAGCTAGGATCTGAGACCAAGGAAGTCATGAGAAATGTTCAAACCAAAGAGCCAAGATCAAGAAACGCCAAGCAATCCCGAAGAACGCCACTGTAAGGAAACAGACACAGAAGCCCCGAGGAGCGCCACTGGAAGCATTACCACAGAACTTGAGGAGGGTAGCACGCAACCGAGACTGAGGAACCAAGGAACCAGGACCAAGACGCCCGTGGAAGGCTGGCCGGCCAGGCCACCCACTCACCGATACCCTTCACAAGCAAGTACGAAGCCTTCACGGGGGAGTCCCTAACGTGACGTGCGTGACGGGGGGTCCTCCCTTCTCCCCCCCCCTCCCCGTAAGGGCACCGAGCGTGCGCGGGGGGTGGGGGGTCCCCAACAGGCGTGGCGCGGTGTTCCGAGGCATGCTGTGGTATACTGACAGGCATGCTCTCCTGTCCACGAGCAGGCTGTGGCCCTCCGCCCCCCTCTCTCTCCCGGAGGAGGAAGGGGGGAGGGGGCCCCCTCGCCGGGCTGCTGCTGCTCTTCGGCAGGCTGGTTCGGCGGCAGGGCCAGGGGCACCCCGCGCAGAGACTCCCTCCCTCGGCGGCGCGCAGCCGGGGGCGGGGGGGGGGGCGTGATGCGCGGGGAGCTGGCCCTCTGAGCAGGCGGGGGGGGTGGCGGGGCAGAAGCCCTGCCGCCCTCTCAGGAGCCCCCTTGGGAGCACTCCGCCCTGCTCCGGGGACGAGCAGGCGAGGCAAAAGCACAAGCCTTCGGAGGTCCGCCCGAAGCTCTCGGATCTGGGCAGAACCTTCTGTGTTGGCGCGCGTGGCGTGCCAGCGGTGGCGATGGAGACGCCGGGCCCCTGGCGTCAGACCAGCCGCGCTGCGCGTGGGGCAAAATCTTCGTGTCCGCCCGTGGGGTCGGACGAAGGGGGGAGGTGCAGCGGTGGATGCGGTGGGGGCGTTCGTTAAGGAATGCGCCCGAGAGGCTTCAGGCCCTGGGGGAGTGCTTGTCAGATGAGAGTGGCGGTGGTAGCCATGTCCAATGCACGATTGGATGTCCGCTGGCTCTCAGACCTAGGATTCCGTATCCAATGGCTTCGTATCCAATGCTCCCACAGTAGGGAAAGGGGGGTTGCTATACATCTGCTGCGTGCAGCTGGCTTCAGCCCCCCCCCTCAGCGCGGGCGTTCTCCTCGATGTTTGTTCGCCTTCGGCGCCGGGAGGCGCCGGGGGAAATCAGCTGCCCGAGCCGCTTCGCTGGCCTGCTTCTGCGCAGAGTCCGTTTCGGTCCGATCGATCCGATTGGACATCTTTTCCGGCTGGCCCGATCCGATTCGAGTCCGATATTCATTCGATCCGATGCGGCCCGATGCTTGCTTGGCGTTGCTGTGCATCTTGGCGAAGCCGATCCGATTCGACCTCGCTTCCGTGCCGATGCAGCTCTATTTCTCCGATGCATATCTCGAATCGGTCCGAGCTCCCGATTCGACGCTGGCTGATCCTGCCTTTGCTGTCCGCCACTTCCGTCCGACCCGAGCCCAGCACTGCTCCTTGCAGGCGCAGGCCCACCCGAGCATTAAGTCGAGCATATCCCTCTACAGGGGCAATATTCAATAAAGAATCAAAACGTAATCTGGCGACTAGTTGCTACTTTTCTACCATGCTTTCAATTTTTGTTGGGGTACTTTTTGCTTTCGCCCCAAATCTGCCTGTAGGAGGACGCCCGATCTAACCCGAGCACCGCCGCGTTTTCCCTCCACACCGCCGCACCCCGCCGGCGCGCGGCGAGGAGGCCGCCGCGAGGTGGCCATTTACAGGCCCTGGGCGGCCTCTCCGGCGCCACGCGGAAGTCGGGCACGTCCCCCTACAGGGAAAGTGTTCGAAAATAGTCAGAAAATAGTCGGGGGACGACTGTTCGATTGTTTTTTGGTGGCTCTTTCTGACTACTCATTGTCAATTTTTTTGGGTTTCCCTCCAAAGTCCGCCTGTAGGAGGGCATGCCCGACCCAACGCCACGCGCTTGGCGCTGCTCCTCCTGCGTCGATCTGGGGAGCTGGAATGCACACAGAGATCCAGCGTATGGAGAATCCGAGGCGGGGATGCATCCATTCACCACCGCCTGGGAGTTCGATCTTCGCGGGCCTCCACAGGCGGCGGATATGGTTATACTCGGGCCCCCTGGGGGGCCAAACTAAAAACGTATCCACGGCCCGCTGGGGCTCCAGGACGTCGCTTCCCAGGCGGTGGGCCTCAGGACGCCCTCGCCGGTCCCCGGGAGTGGGTCGAGAGTTCCGGGGACCCCGTATCACAACAAGAATCGAGAGCCGGGGCGGCCAGCCTGGTTCTGGAGCTGGATACACATGTGGCCAGACGTTTTTCCAGCGCTCGGCCCATCTGTGGCCCTTGTCCGCCAGGATTTCACACATGTGGCCTCTGGACGTTCCAAATGCGAGTCCAGTCACGTGTGCTTCTACAGTAGAGTTTGATTAGTAGGTCGGCCTTGCCAAACCAAGGGTGCCTTTGTGTCCAGCGTTGAGCGGCCCATGTACCTTCTACATCCCCATGGCAACGGGGCCATTGGAAGGGTCTTGTGTCCTCTCTCGCGTGTACCCTCCAGTCAGACTCGACCGCAGTTCGCTGGTGCACGCTTCTTGCGACCGCGGGCAAAGGCATCGGGCGCTCAGCACAGGGCGCAAGGGTACCCTTGGTTAGGCAGGGTCGACCTACTAGTCAAACTCGACTGCAGTTCGCTGGTGCACGCTTCTTGCGATCGCAGGTGCGCTCTGCTTGAGGCGCTTCAGAGGTGGTCACGGCCTCGGCGCACATCCTTCAGGGGTCCCAGAAGCAGTGACAGACCGTGCGGTGGCCTCGAAATCCCAAGAGGCCTCACCGCGCGGTCCGTCACCGCACGGTTTTGGATGACATCCAAAGCCCGAGTCGCCCGAGACATCGTCGGCGAACGATCCGAGTCCCAAAAACGTGCGGTGACCCCGAATTTCCACTGACTCACCACACCGGCCCCCCTCCGCATGGTTTGTTTGGGGGCCATATCTCGGGTCTCCGGCGGCCATTCGGGACGATCCAGACCCCCCCAGAACGCTCCTGGCGAGGCGCAGCTGCTGGAACGCACCCGAGGCCAGAAAGCCCTTCAGGAATCGACGAAAATTTTTGAAAACCTCGGATCTCGATTCCGAAGCCCCACTGGCTCACCACGCGGAGTGGTCCCCAGCGTTCCCGCGGTTTGCTCCCCATGCGGTGTGGCCCCCTCTGGCTCACCACGCGGTGTGGGCCCAGTCCTCGATTACATGGGCGCCTCACGACGCCAGGAGGCGCCAGGAAAGCCAGCGAGCTGATTCTCTGCCCCACCCTCTGCTATCCTGCCCCTTCGCCCCCTCCGAGAACCCCCGCTGACTCACCACACGGTGTGGTCACCACACCGTTCGGGGCGATCCGGGCACCCCCAGGACGCTCCCGGCGAGGCGCAGCTGCTGGAATGCATCCCGAGGCCGCGCACCGCTGCCTCGCCACGCAGTGCGGCCCCCACGCCGTTCGGGGCCCCCCAGCGGCCGGCGGAGGCTTGAAGGCGACAGGCGGAGGCCGCCGGGCAGACTGTGGGCGGCAGGCTGGCCGGCGGAGGTGAGAGCGGGGCGTGGGCATGTCCGGACCCTGGGCGAGGGAGGAGGAGAGAGGGAGGGAGGGAGGGAGGGAGGGAGGGAGGAGGAAGAGGGAAGAGGGAAGAGGGGAGGGAGGGAGGGAGGGGAGGGAGGGAGGGAGGAGGATGAGGAGGAGGAGGAGGAGGAGGAGGAGGAGGAGGAGGAAAAGGAGGGGAGGAGGGAGGGGAGGAGGCCGTGGAAGGGAGGTGTAGGGATGAGGAAGAAGGGAAGAGGAGGAGGGGAGGAGAGGAGGAGGAGGAGGAGGAGGGAGGAGGAGGAGAGGAGGTCCTCAGGCGGCAGGAGGAGGAGGAGGAGGAGAGGAGGAGGAGGAGGAGGAGAAGGAGGAGGAGGGGTGGAGAGGAGGAGGAGAGGAGGAGGGAGGAGGAAGGGAAGGAGGAGAGAGGAGGGGAGGAGGGAGGAGGAGGAGGAGGAGGAGGAGGAGGAAGACAAGAGAGGGAGGAGGAGGGGGTGGTCGACATTCGTGGATCCCATGGGCTTTGAGATCGGCCGTGTTGGGTCCCGCGCGGGCGCTCGTGGCCTCGCCCGCTGGGAGCGTGGGTGCTTCGGCCGCAGGGGTCGCAATGGCAGCGGCGTGGCTGGGTGCTCTAGCCGCTGAAGAGGATCGCTCCCTACCAGCGCGCTGGATACACATGTCGATGTCGATGGTCCGCGCAGATTTTTGGGATCCGCGCAGACTTCTAAGCACCGCCCTTTTCCAGGAGCGCTTCTTCGTTCTTGATTATAGTGCTCCTCATGGTAGCACGATGACTGTAGTTCGCTCCTCTCGCTCTCTCTCTGTCTCTCCTTCTCCCTGTCTCTCTTCATCTCTCTCTCTCTCTCTCTCTGTCTCTTCTCTTCTATATACATATATATATACATATATATATATATGTGTATATATGTGTATATATACATATATATATATATGTATAGCTGTTCTCTCTTTCTCTCTCTTGCTCGCTCTCTCTCTCTCCCTCTGTCCCTCTCTCCCTCTCCTCTTCGCTTGCCGCCAGGCACACGACACGGACAGCCTCCGGGACCGGCTCTCCCAGTCGCTCGAGCGGGAGCGCGACGCCAACGCGCAGGCCAGATCGCGGCGATGGGAACGCCAGGGGCACCACACGCTGCCGATGCCACAGCCCTTCCCTCCATGTCGCCTTTTTTGTCGAGCCGTCTGCAGTCATGGCGCTGAAATGAAGGCCATGTGGGGGGTCATGAGGGGCTCCGTTTTTCGGGGCGTTCCTGCGACCCAGGGTCGGGGAAGTGGCCGAAGCCCGCCGCGGCCAGGGAAGCCCCTCCGTTCCTTGTTTTGTGCTCCTTATGTCAGCGCGATGCTTACAGGGGGGTGGGGGGGGGGGGTCGCGTCGCCTCAGCTGGATTCGCCTCGGAGGCTTGGCCAAAGCTCACCCAGGAAGCCGCATCAGCGCTTTTCCCCAAACAGCTTGTCTGTGAGGGTCATGTACAGCATTATAGGGTCTAGTATGTAGACTGCCGTATCCGGAGTCGGTCGGGCGTCGTGGCCTTCCGTGGCTTCCCGTGGCCTCCTGTTTCCATGGAAGTAATTTTCGTATCAGTACCAGGATTCGGATTAGTTTTTTTCTCTACCGTAGTCGTAGAATTTTTAGTAGCAGCATGGAGATGAGTAGTACGAATGATACCACGACTTATTGATAGGTTGGGTACAGGTATTGGCATTCGGACCCTCACTTGTGGTATCATTCGCATTCGAATCAGTATTCGTGTCAGCTTTGTTCGTGCTACATTACTGCTAGGAGTATTAGACTGCCTACGAGCTAGAAAGTTTAGAATTCTTGACGCCTCGCGTAGATCCACCAATCCCTCCAGAAACGATGCCCACGCGAGTTGCCATGACCAGGAACAAGTTTTGGATACAACTGATCAGACCCAGGGCGGGGATGAACATGAGGAGTAGGCGGAGGACGAGGATGAGTACGAGGAGGAGGACGGGGACGAGAAGCAGGACGAGGAGGAGGACGACGAAGAGCAGGACGAGGCGGAGGACGAGGAGGGAGAGGAGGGAGAGGAGGGAGAGGACGAAGACGAGCAGGACGTTGGAGGCCTCTTGGGCGCCTCTAGGGGCTGTCTGGGCGCCTCTTGGGACACTCTCAGGGCGCTCTTGGGAACTTTAGGGCCACTCTTGGCGCCATCTTGGAGGATATCGATGAAAAAGAAGGGTTCCCTAATTCCCGTCCCCCCTTGGGAGCCCCCAAAGTCGCCTCTTGGGGCGCTCTTGGGGCCGTCTTGGGGCTCTCTTGGGTCTCTCCTGGGGCTCTCTTAGGCCATCTTCCATCTTGGAGCCATCTTGAGGCCTCGGATGGCCACCGGAAGCGAAAAGGCGAGAAAGTAAACAAACATTGATTTTCCTTGGTTTGGGACTGATTTTGGTCTCTTCGGGGCCTCCTTGGGGAGCTCTTTGGCCTCTTGAATCCGTCTTGGAGCGGTCTTGGGGCCTCTTGGAGCATCTTGGGAGCCATCTGGAGGCATCCTGGGGTATCTTGAGCCATCTTGGCGCTCGTCTTGGGTTCTCCGAGGCGCTCTTGGAGCCATCTTGGGCCATCTTGGACGCCCCAACCCCTCGGGGGACCCCACGTCCAGGTCTAGGGTAGGGGGTAGGGGAGGGGTCAAGGTACCCACCCGCCCGCAAGCCGTCTAGCTCACTCCCGCCCGCCCTCCCTACGATACGCTTCGATCCATCGGGGCCCTCTTGGGGCTATTTCGGAGGGCGTTGGGGAGTCGTGGAGCTTTCTTCGAGCTCTCTTGGGGGTCTCTGGGGAGTCCTGGGGCCCTTTTGGGGCCATCTTGGAGAGCTTCAATCAAAAGGAGGGGGGTCCTCCATTTATGCCCCCCCCTCTCCCCAAAGATGCTTCGATATCGTCCATTGGGGCCTTCTTGGGGCCCTCTTGGAGCCATCTTTGGGCGCTTTTGGGCGCTCTTGGAGGCTTCTTCGGCCCGTCGAGGGGCTCTTCTAGGCCACCCTGGGACTTGAAAAAAGCATCGGGGACGAGGAGGCGAGAAGGCACCAATTGATGAGCTCTGTTTGATTCTTCACGAATTTGTGGCCTCTTGGGGAAATCCTCAGGGAGCTCCGAGAGCACCTGGAGCGCCGTGTGGTTCCCTTGGGGCCTCTGGGAGGCATGTCGGAGGCCCTCTTGAGCCATCTCGGGGGCCATCGTGAACCCTCAAATCCCCAAGGGCGCCCTCGAGGGCGCGAAGTTATTCGCGCTTCGCGGTTCGGCTCCGATTCCTCCTCATCCTCCTCTTCTCTCCTGGGAGGCGGCGCGAGAGCGCGAAGTTTTTCGCGCTTCGCGTAGCGCGAAGCGCGAATTTGGGAGCCCTTGAATCGCAGACCCCTGGGGTCATCCCCGGGACCGGGTTTTCATCCCGAGCCGTTTTTTACGGCCCCGAGGCCAGGTGAGGCCCCGCCGGAAGGCAAAAGTAGTCAAGTTTGTGCTGTCGTATTTGTTTCCCGACGCGAGGGGGTCTTGGATGCCAGGATCTCTCGTCGCGTCTCCTGCGCAGCCGAGATCCTCGACCCTCGAGGAGGAGGGGAGATGCCCTCCGCCGCAGGTCGAGAAGCTCCGCCAGCAGCTGCACGAGGCCCGCATGGACGCGGAGGCGTCGAGAAAGGAGCCCAGCCAGCCGCCGCCGCGGCCGCGGCCGACCCAGATCCCCGACGAGAGGAAGGCTTCTTGAATCCCGGCGCTTTTCTGAGTGTCGGTCTCTGAGGCTCGGGCCCCGGAGCCATTGGGAGCTGATGCAGGGCGAGAAAAGCTACACCCAGGGAAGGGGTCGGACCCCCTGGAACCGCGCCTTGAAGAAACACGTCGCCAGCTGAGCGACGGAAGAAAACGGGACCGTCTTCACCGACATTGGCGCGTAAGTTGCCCGCGTAAGGTCGCGCGTGAGCGCCCTCGCTCCCAATCTAGCGTGCAGTGCGGGCGGCCCGCGCAAGCCGCCCCGAAAGGTCGCTATGCCAGTTCGCGTAAGACCTCTTTCTTTTCGCCGCTCAGATGTCCTGGATGTTAGGAGGGAGAGTCGCGTCAGTGTCTGGTGCGAGGGGCGTTTCGCGCTCCCGCCGGAGCGCTCCCTAGCCAAATGTCTGCGACGGCATGCACGCATCGGGAAGGCGGCAAGGTGCTCACTTCGGCGGCGAGGGAAGGGGGAAGTGAGAAGGGGAAGGCCTTCTCAGAAGGCGGCGGGATTTCTCAGAAGGCCTCTGGCCTTCTGAGAGGTTTTCTGTGTCCTGGGGGAAAGCTCAGAACACTTCTCAGAAAGGCTGGGGGACTTCCGAGCCTTCTGAGAAGGCCCAACCCTTCTCGCTCCCCCCACAGGCTCGCCACCGATTGCTGAAAGCCATGCTTTTGTTCATTCCGTACGCTCATCGTCGCTGTTGGGCGAAAGGGGCGAGGAGGAGGAAGAGGAGGGGGAGGAGAAGGAGGAGGAGGAGGAGGAGGAGGAGGAGGAGGAGGAGGAGTAGGGGGAGAGGAGAAGGAGGAGGAGGAGAGGAGGAGGGAGGAGAGGTGGGAGGAGGAGAGGAGGAGGAGGAGAGGAGGAGGAGGAGGAGGAGGAGGAGGAGGATGGTGATGGTGATAGTGATGATGATGCTGCTGCTGCTGATGATGATGCTGATGCTGATGACGATGA